CTGTTGTACACTCCGTTTTTTTCTGAAACTAAACTTCTAATCGACTTGCTTCCACTGCTCACACATCTCATCTTATAAGGTAAGATTATAAAACCATCTTTTAAGAGGATTTCGGTGAAAAATTCATAATTATATCTCATATAGTTCAAAAGTTATGAAAAAAAGAGTATTTTACAGCAAAATTTAAACGGGCATTTAAAAAATACTACCGCAGGAACAGCACGACAGCGGTATATGCGGGGTATTTAAACCACCACGTCGACGGGTTAACAATCCTTCATAGACATCATGTCTTGGGTTAATATCTAATCGTAGAGACCAGTTATTCTTACTAAGACTTCCTCAGGCTCTCCACACAGAACTCTAAAACAGGACTGATTGCTTCTTTTCTCATTCTTCCTAATTCATCATTTACATTTATCATGCAGTTCTACTGGTTGTATTAAGTGCCATTAAATGCACTAAGAAAAGTTGGCTGTTTAAGGAGTCAAATAGTTCAGGTTTCAGACTGACTAGATTCATTTTAAGCTTTTCTGCATTCCTCCCACATCTTTCACCCCCGATGAATTCATACTTTGTGATTCTGTGGAGTTCGGGGTCGTAACTCTGCTTTGGAGTCCATGCGCAGTTCTGGGTCCCTCTGCCAAATATAATCATCGTCCTTTAATTTAGTGTAAATGGAATCCAACCTTGAAAATATGTTCATTCACTTTGACAGGTGGTCAAAGGTCAACAAACTCTAAATGGAGCCATTGGATTCAAAATAATAACATTGTGTTCAATTTTAAACAGTAAAAGTTGTAGTTCTGATGTTATTTTCTTTGTGTTCTAGATAAAAGAGAATCCAAAATTTAAAGTTATTATTGTTAAATTGAAAACTGGTACAAATATGAAAGGAGATTCTCAGACAGATGAAACAGTAAAAGTTCTGAAGATTGTACAAACATCACCTGCTGTTACTTCAGATAAGTAAGTTATATAATATTTTGCATGTCTGATTTGCTAATTTGATAACAAGATTCCCAAAGTGGACGGAATTTCACAAAAAGAGTGTATGATATAGTCCAGGTTATTGTCTTGAAAATAACATTGCTTGTCGGAAATATAAAGATTTTCGTTTTATTAATATAATTTTTAAACCGATTTTCAGAATACTGATTATTTAAAAAAGGCTTTAATGGTGACTTAGATTTTCATAATATAGTATATTGGTGGGCCATTGAAATCATCACAAGCATTCATGACTTAAATCAGCATTGTGCATGATTACAGAAACTTAAATATTAATCATAAGCCATTAATTACATAATTAATTTCTGTGTGGTTTCTGTCTCACTGGAGGTCACATATGATATATCTGACATCCATGTAAACTTGAAGCAGAGACAAAAGTCAACTCTTTGAATATTTTCAAAAAAAATACTCTGTATGTATAGTCAGGAGGACCCATACTGTACAACCATGCACAGCCACTGACTACAGTGGATTCATGAAGATCATTAAAGGGTTCTTTAATAATGTTTTCTAGATTTTGAAAGATTATACCTAGATATGCAATTCAACTGCTACTGCAATTCCTCTGAAAAAATATAGTCTACCTTATTTTTGGTTTGCCACAAGGGTTTAATCTTTTCACTGCAAAGTAATTTTAAGCCACCCCACCTGCATTATTAATAGGAAGGATTTTAAAATGTACAGATAGCCCTTGATTTGCACCAGTTCAATTTGCGCTGATCCAGAATAACGCCGATTTTGAAACCACCAAGTCAAAAAGTGGAAAAAAAATATTTTGCTATTATTTATAACGTTTTACAATGTATCTCGTACTGATTCTTATACTAAATCGTAATTCTTACATCGCTGATTTTGAATAAAAATTATAAATACAGTCATCTCTGCAATTACGTGTGTTTCGTTAACGCCAGTTTGCTCCAATAAGATCGATGAATCGGTAAAAGCTGTTTGTGAAATGCAAACTTTTGCATATGCGAGTTTGCTCTTGTGCAATTTCATTCCTGGCACTTTAAACTTTCAAAGGACTAATTTAATCTCTGCGGAGGTACCGGGGTTAATTTTACTACGCGATTTTCTATAGGTCGGCGTCTTACATGAATGCAACTATCACATAACAGCAGAGATGACTGTACACATCAATCACATGAAAGAACCGCAGTCAATTGCGGGGACCAATGAATTGCCGATTGTAAGTGTATAAAATATATTTTTTAAATTCCCTTTATTTTATTTACATTATTTCAGAGCTTTAAATGTAATGCCATTATATTACTCGTCAATGTTTGGGTGCTGGGAACGCATGTCATTGACTTCCCATTGATTTACATTATATAAGAGTTTCAATTTACGCCGGTTCGTCCAGGAACGAATCCCCGGCATAAATCGAGGGCTACCTGTGTATGTTTTGAAAACTTTATGACGTTTCCTTCCTTGTCATTCTGTACATTCCTTTGTGTTATCCTCTTCCTGACCTTCATTAATTTCCCATCAGAGCATGCCCTGGTCTTCTCCAGCTTTTCTGTGTTGTACAGGTACGTATGGTATTTGATTGTAATCTTGCGAAGTATCAGAACATTACAAAGATGTAAATACTTGTGTATCTGTTGCAAATTAAATATCTAGTGTGCCGAATATTTTGTTCTTTGGATCACCAAATTCCAAATAGATCCACTGGTCTCCTGCTCACTGTTGCTTCCTACTGACATGGTAAATTATATTATTTTTGGGGAGCATTGTGGGGTGGTGCATAACACTTTGGAAAGTAATTTGAAAGTACAGACATAAAAGATGGGTAATAGCTATGGAATGTTTTGGCAAAGATAGTTTGTATTGCCATTAAATTGTGAAAAAACCAGTGGGGAATTTTCCCAACTGAACTTCATGAACAGTGAATCTAATAAAAGCTTATTAAAATTAATGATGTGTATCCATGTATTTTGCTTCTCACATCCTACAAATAATGACACTTATGATCCATTGATATAAATTAGTGACTTACTGCTTACTAAGCCAGCTTGCCTCAGGGAAGTGAGTTTCTGTATTTTTCAAGCCTTCACGTTCCTTACAGTAAGTTTAATAGTTGTTATTACATTTATTATAAATACCAGTTCCTTATTAACCAGGTTGGTCTTCTGGGCAGCAATGCATTGTGTAGATACCAAAGTTTTAGAGGAATATGTTGCCTCCGTGTTCAGGGCTGAAGATAAAGACAGTGTGTTCCTCTGAAATGTTAGAATCCACCTACAAGACCACTCGGCAGTTACTACCCAGAAGACCAACATGACATCTTCACTGATGTGAGAACCTCACATACCTCAGACATTTACCTTATTATTTTGCAGGAAAGCATGTGAAGAGCAGCAACATCCACAGGAACAGGACACTGAATGTGCTGATGGCCATGTGAATGAGTTATCTTTAGAGCTTCCTGGGCTGCTATCTTCAAGCAAAAAATCTTCTAATGTAGAAGGTGTATCAAGAGTTGTTTTTAACAAGACCGAGATGTTGGGTTGTTCAAGTAATAATGTTTTGGATAAAATTCCTGATAACTCTTCAAGAGAAAGCACGGCAGATCTTGCCTGTGCCCATTTTGAGCAGAGTGTATCCTGCGAGAGGAATTTGTTCAGTGAAGATAATTTTGCATCAGATCAAACAACTGTTGTTTGTGATGAAACATTGCATTGTGCTGAGTGTGGTATTGTTTATGCATCTCAGCAATTGCTGGAAAAGCATAAAAGAATTTGTTCCAATAAATCAGGTTGTATGTCAGTTTCTGAAAACACTTTCCTGAATCACAAAGACCCTTCATTACAACCTGTTGTTTTCTTGGAAAGACTCGAATTATTTTCAGAAAATGACAACAAACTTAAAGTTGTGGAAAACACACACAATATTCATGTATGCCCAGAATTTCCAGCAAAGTCTCACACTGAATGTGCTTTGGTATTACCATTACCTGAAAATGCACAGACCGACCTAGCTTCTTTGGAAACGAGTGTCCTAAATAAAAGTAAAGGGAAAAATGAAACTGAAATTATTGAAACATTCGATAGTCATGTTACTCCAGGAAAGAATATATTAAAGCAATCATGGGCTGAAAATAATTCAGAATTATGTAAAAAATTTGAAACCACACATAGAAGTGATACAGCTAAGATAATTGAAAACATTAACAATATAATTAAAAGAAATGAAGAAATCTTGTCAGAAACTGCTACTGCAAAACTAGAAAAATCAGTCTTGTCAAATAAGGAGTTAATAGAGAAGGTAGTAAAACAGAAACCTAAATATGTGCCGCAAATCAAATTTGAGAAAGTCCATAAGTTTTGGAAATGCCTACAGTGCTTCATTGTTTTCAATACAGAAAGAGCATTACATGACCATATCAGATTAAAACATCCAGTGATACATAAATGCCAGTTCTGTGATAAACAGTTTGTTTCAAGGTGGAGATTCAAACAACATACGTCTGTACATACTCAAGAAAAACAGTACATGTGTGAGTTTTGTGGGAAACATTTCCGTTTAAAGCGCTCCCTTCATAGCCATTTATTGTTGCATAACACAGAAGGGAACAAGTTCAGATGTCAGCAGTGTCAGAAGAACTTTGCAACTAAAGAGAGATATACAATACATTGCATGAGCCATGACAAAGCTTCGTACCTGTGTGATGTATGTGGAAAGAGTATGAAATACTTCAACAGCCTGAGGGTGCACAGGCGGACGTGCATTGATCCTGGTCTGGCACAGCAGCTTTGTTGTACAATTTGTGGAAAAATGTATCGGGACAAGTATGTTATTTGTTCATTAGTTCTTAAGAACATTAGAATTTAGGTAGGATGTACATTGGTCAGACAAGCCAAAACATTCTTAACCCACATTCACCAGCAAACGCCAATTAGGTGCGAACATGTCAGAGAATAAGGTTATTGGTATGTGTGGGTTGATGGTGTGGAAGTGGTAGTATAAGCAAGACACTAATAGGAGAGGTATTGGGTTTATCTACTTCTTTAGCTCTTACGCAATAAATATACTTCACAAAATGTAATTCATGAACTGAGCTTTAAAAGAAAAAAGTCTTGTTTCCAAAAATTTCTGATGATCTGCTGGAACTTTTATAGGATTATATGATGAAGAGCATTACTAATTATGCAGTTAAAAAAGAAGCTTGTGTGTTACAGCATGAGTACAAAATTAGTACAATTCATAAAAGAAAAAATGAATTATTAATTTTCATGTAATTTGATATTGAAATCAACATTGAAAAATCAAAAGACAGAACACTGAATAATAATAATTTGATATTGGAAACTATTAAAATATTGGTGAAAACTGATAACAATGATGAGCACTTTACATGAACACTTAATGTGTGTTTCTATGAGCCGAGTTACTGAGTATAAACATCTAGTAATTCTGTATGAAATGACCAAGTGGTTTTAGTTTCATGATTTTTCATTTTGGTGGTTTTTCTCTGTGTCATAGTACAGCTCCTAAAACAAAATTGGGACATAATATTTTTGATTCCTATTGAGGCACTGGTCACCAGACCCTCTGAAATTGGCAAATATAACGTTTCCCATTAATTGATATAACTTCGTTCTACAGTGCTACTGACGACAAAAACGTAGGAAGCTGTAAAAACCTAATCTTCATAACAGAGAATAATCAGCTCTCTAGCATAAAAATTACATAACCTACATGGTTAAATTGCAAGGTTGCTTTGCTTTTTACAGAATTTGAATGCAACTTTTATACTAGAAGAGTGATGAATCGCAATGTACTTTTTATAGGATCCTCACATGTTACTTAAAATGTTTGTGCATAGTTCAGGTTGTGGTATTATCCCCATTATACTGAAAAAGAAATTTATATAAATATTTGCTAGAATTAATTGCAGTTTTAAGGTGCCCTAGTTTATACTTAAATAGTAATCAGTAAGCAAATCATTTTTGTACTGGTATGCAACATTTAATTTATTTTACTGATTTACATTTGCAGGCGTGGCTTTACAGATCATTTGAGGTTACACACCAATGAACGGCCTTTTGTCTGCGCACAGTGTGGTGATTCTTTCCGTATGAAATTTCAGCTGTCATACCATATGTTGCGTCATACTAATGCTCGTCAGCACAAATGTCCGGTGTGTGGGAAAGGCTTTAATCATCGTCAGCATATGAGGGTACATGTTCTACTACATCAGCAGCCCTGCAAATATATATGCGATGTATGTGAGTGTACTTTTGTGTATATGAGAGATTTTAATACCCACCGAAGAAATCATACTAAAGAAGAAATTGAAAGAGCCTCAAAGTGTAAAAGAGATAGTGAAGCTCCTGTAAAGTTAACACGTTATATATGTCAAATATGTGGAAAGCATTTATCCAATCGTTTCACATTGAAGAATCATATGATGACACATACAGAAGAGAAGCCATTTTCATGTGAAACATGTGGGAAAAGCTTTTCACTTACATCAAATCTGAAAGTTCATCAGCGCATACATAGCAGTGATAAACCATTCACATGTGATGTATGTGGGAAGAGATTTGCACTCAAGATACGGTTACAATCCCATCAGTTTGCACATACTGGTGAGAAACCCTACCAATGCCATTACTGCAGTAAGAGATACTCATTCAAACAAAATCTTATCATCCATGAGAGAATGCACACGGGTGAACGGCCTTTCAAATGTTGTGTATGCAGTAAGGGCTTTCGTTCCCAGAGTAGCCTTAAGGTACATGCCCTGGTTCATTCAGACCAACGGCCATTTCAGTGCATGCTTTGTGATAAGAGTTTCAAACGACGAGATATTCTTCATACTCACCAGCGTATACATTCAGGAGAATGTCGCTTTTTGTGCAATGTTTGTGGTCGTGGTTTTAAGCAGAACGGAGACTGTAAAAAACATGAACGAACACATTTTAAAAGTGACAATATTCAAAACACACTATCTCTAAGATTATGTACAGTTGCTACAGAAGGGAACAATATGGTAGAAAAATTAATATGAATTGTGTACCAGCATTATTTTATCACTTTTGCACCTAAATAAAATAGTCATAGTGTGTAATACAGAAGTGCAGTTCAATTCAAAGGAATGTTTGTAGTCATGTCAGTAGAGTACCATTTCTGGTCTTTTCCATCTTTTGTACAAAAGTAATATGCTAATGTTATAATCATGTCCATATGTCTATCCCCTAGTAACTTTTGAACCAATATATAGATTTTAATTAAAATTGGTATGAACTTTGTACTTATGAATTTTACAGTATAAGTAATATCAGTATGGTAACCATGCAAATTTGTGAGGTGAAAATGACAATGTAGTGTCTTTAAATTCTATATGGTAATAGATCTTCACATTTGGAGAGTATCTAAGAATATATTGAAATAGCAGTATCAGATAGCTGGAAGGGGCTGGTTTTCCAGCATAGGGGTTGCATTAGGGACTATAATAATAGAAAACAGAATATTACAACATGTTATGCAGGGCCTTACACTTGGCAGGCTCTTGTAAACATGGTAATGAACCTTTGGATTCCACAGAAGTCAGGGAGTTTCTTGACTTACTGACAAATTCCCAAGAAGGACTACTCCATGGAGTTAGTTTATAGATCTTAAAAAAAGTATGAAACTTTTTTCATGCTGTTTATAAAATTTAAAACCACCTTGGCACCAGTGAAAATGTATGTTGTTGTTGTAGTTTTATACAGTAGTTAATCAACCGTTGGAGCTAGTGATATGAAATTTTGTATTTAGATAGATTATAATTACAGCTATAAATTGTGTGTGAAATATTGTTTTCTTATCTGAAATTAGCAGTGGTGCAAATCTTTGAAGATATATCTGACAGAAATTAATTGCCAAATAATGTACCAATAATTGCTAACCTCACCATGGGTTGACTGGTGATGTAAGTATGTCCCAGAAATTATTATACAAAGTGACTCTCAACTTACTTAGCCTACATCCAACAGCACACTGCATCTCCATGCCTTCTAGAACATTCATTTCCAATTTCAGCATGACTAAACACAGTATAGGGCTATAGGAATTATGTTTTGTTTATTGTGTTTGGAAAGAATTCTGGCAAATGTTAAGAAAGTCATGTGTAGAAGATTTAAGGTACTACAGAAGTTGATCTTGTTCGTCTTGGTAATGACACTGTATGTGCGTATAGGTATATACCAGCATTTCAGATAAATATACTGTCTCTGTGTTCAGTTCAGAAGTGCTTAAGATAAAAACAGTATGTTCCTCTGAAACATAGGTATTTATCTACAGATACACACAACATTACTACCCAGAAATCAACTTTCTGATTTTTTTTAAGTTTATTTCTAAGTGCAAGTGAAACAAGTCACAGTAGTGAGAAACAAAATCAGTTGCTTATTCATTGTTCATTGGGTGTAAAATACCATGAGAGTTTGTTTAATTTAAGTGTCAACATTAAAAGTTTAGATTGCAGTGCTCATTTATGTCATAACGTCCACATCAAGTTGACATGTTACCATTTTGCCATAATCTAATTGGAAAGGATGTGGAAGGAAGCTGTTGTGTAATTTCTGGTCCTATCCTGGCATTTACATGGAGGGGCTGAGAAAAACCCTATCAGGATAGCCGGTCTCCAGGACCTCCTGAATACGAAGGAGTGTTAACCACTCAACCACAACATTCGGTGTGGTTTGTTTTAATCTTCAGCTCTTCAAGATGTGTGCAGCAAGTAAAAAATTGACAAAAAGATGCCACTTCTTCCAGAAGCTGTATATTAAAGATTTCCTCCATATCAGTTCTCTAAACCCTATCGAGCTTGTGTAGAGTAGGATCAAAGGAGATGTTGCGCTTAATAATTAGAGATTCACTCTCGAAGACAAGATTGGTAGAAGAAGCAATCCAAGAGGCTACTCCGGAGAGATGGAGATGGGTAAAAGTAATGGATATATGGGCAGCGTAGAACCTTTCCATGACAGCAATTAGTATGTTTCGTCACATTATTGTTTTGAAACCTAACTCTATTCGTTACATTACATTTAATGTGGTAGGTAGATGGAATTTCAGTAATAAAGTACATGAATGATGGCAGAACAGACGATAACATTTCTTCTACCAAGTGTTTCAAAAGGAGTGAGAGAAGATGAGTTGTTTAATGTAAGATTTGAGGTTTTCATAGTGGTGAGTATGAATATTTCTGGGTTGTTGCACTGTGTAGTCTGATCTATGTTTACCAACGTTTCTGAGGTCATACTGCCTCCGTCACATTCATCGCCCTGATGAAGGAGGAAGTATGACCTCAGAGACGTTGGTAAACATCGACCAGACTACACAGCGCAATAACTCAGAAGACAGAAATCTTGTTTTGAAATCTTGAAATGAGTTGTTTTGATTGCCTGTGATCTTGCTTGGGACAACCTACAGAATTTCAATTCCCACTACTCTTTCCTCAGTTCGTGCGGTAATCAGTGGCCACGTCTAAAAACTGTTAATTTATTAATCTGTGCTTGGCAACGGCTTCCGCCATTTGCAGGGAATGGCTCTTATAATTCTGTAGAATGGTAGCGTCTTGTTCAGCAAGTAATTGCACAAATTCAAGAAATAATAAAAGTAAAAACGTAACATTTCACAGGTATGACAATGTAGGTAATAAAGCTACAAGACTCGGCCTCGCATGGTTGGTAATAATTTAGTTTGTAGTGCAGCTAGGTGAAACATGTTCCTGTATCATCCGTGAATATAATCTAGGAATAGTGTGGAAGTGTGACTTTTACTCATTGTGGTTATGTTCACTTAGGGATGTGGGAAAAATCACCGGTTGCTAACTGTAGAGTAGAGTAGAGTTTATATACATGCCATAGATCCTTCTTAGGACTCAACCAAAGGATGTAGAACATGTCATGTAATATACCATACATGTATCAGGCATATTCTGAGGAACAGAGCTCCATTTCAGAAAAGAACCTTGTTATTTTAAACAATATTAAATATTTGCAGTCTATTGTGAATCCTTATATCAAACTTTCTTTTTCGGAAGAATATGAAGTCACAGAAGGGTATGACCCCAAGATAAAACAATTAGTGGATATCGACTGCTTTTTCCGATAACCTAGTCATACTTTTAATTTACCTCATATCCTGTGTCGTCTCTTCAAGCCTCACAGAAAAGGAATGGGATATGAAGATACAGAAATGGTTGTAAAAAGACTTGCAGTTATTGATATGGAATCTGTTATGTATTCTTACTGTAACACTTCTATCATATTAGTACAGTCACAATTTCCTGTGAGGCAAAAATTCGTATTCTTAATGCTTAGTACTGTTATTATAAGAGAGGTAAGGAATAGGATGTGCAACGTAACATTTACCCTGCCTCTTGGCACACTACATTATTTCTTGCTCATTTGTGGTAGTTGGTTACTTTAAATTGAGGTTTTAGCATTTGGTTTAATTTGAATGTGTGTTGTGGGATGTTGCACTGTGTAATCTAGTAGTAAGTGACAAATTTTAGAGGCACATACTGACTCTTCATCTGGGTGATGACCAAACTATATGGTGCACCATCCCATAAGACAGGCCTGTTCATACTTTGCATAGCTGTGTGACTCTATTGCAAGTGGCACTAATGCCAATCACACTTCATAAGGTTCTTCCTCTGCCATTTTGTTATTACTGGTAGAAAATTGGAAAGTGCAATTATAGGGCAGTGCTCAAAAGCACAATCTCCATTTCAAATTTCTTCCAAATCCATCCAGCATTTCTGAAGTTGAATAATGCAGGCAGACAGACATACATGACCAGCCTTGTATATATTAATTTCATGCAAAGAACACATAATAATGTAAAAGTTAACATACTAAAAATATTGTGTATGATAACGTTTCTGAGGTCATACTTCCTCCTTCATCAGGGCGATGAATGTGACGGAGGCAGTATGACCTCAGAAACGTTGGTAAACATCGACCAGACTACACAGCGCAATAACTCAGAAGACAGAAATCTTGTTTTGAAATCTTGAAATGAGTTGTTTTGATTGCCTGTGATCTTGCTTGGGACAACCTACAGAATTTCAATTCCCACTACTCTTTCCTCAGTTCGTGCGGTAATCAGTGGCCACGTCTAAAAACTGTTAATTTATTAATCTGTGCTTGGCAACGGCTTCCGCCATTTGCAGGGAATGGCTCTTATAATTCTGTAGAATGGTAGCGTCTTGTTCAGCAAGTAATTGCACAAATTCAAGAAATAATAAAAGTAAAAACGTAACATTTCACAGGTATGACAATGTAGGTAATAAAGCTACAAGACTCGGCCTCGCATGGTTGGTAATAATTTAGTTTGTAGTGCAGCTAGGTGAAACATGTTCCTGTATCATCCGTGAATATAATCTAGGAATAGTGTGGAAGTGTGACTTTTACTCATTGTGGTTATGTTCACTTAGGGATGTGGGAAAAATCACCGGTTGCTAACTGTAGAGTAGAGTAGAGTTTATATACATGCCATAGATCCTTCTTAGGACTCAACCAAAGGATGTAGAACATGTCATGTAATATACCATACATGTATCAGGCATATTCTGAGGAACAGAGCTCCATTTCAGAAAAGAACCTTGTTATTTTAAACAATATTAAATATTTGCAGTCTATTGTGAATCCTTATATCAAACTTTCTTTTTCGGAAGAATATGAAGTCACAGAAGGGTATGACCCCAAGATAAAACAATTAGTGGATATCGACTGCTTTTTCCGATAACCTAGTCATACTTTTAATTTACCTCATATCCTGTGTCGTCTCTTCAAGCCTCACAGAAAAGGAATGGGATATGAAGATACAGAAATGGTTGTAAAAAGACTTGCAGTTATTGATATGGAATCTGTTATGTATTCTTACTGTAACACTTCTATCATATTAGTACAGTCACAATTTCCTGTGAGGCAAAAATTCGTATTCTTAATGCTTAGTACTGTTATTATAAGAGAGGTAAGGAATAGGATGTGCAACGTAACATTTACCCTGCCTCTTGGCACACTACATTATTTCTTGCTCATTTGTGGTAGTTGGTTACTTTAAATTGAGGTTTTAGCATTTGGTTTAATTTGAATGTGTGTTGTGGGATGTTGCACTGTGTAATCTAGTAGTAAGTGACAAATTTTAGAGGCACATACTGACTCTTCATCTGGGTGATGACCAAACTATATGGTGCACCATCCCATAAGACAGGCCTGTTCATACTTTGCATAGCTGTGTGACTCTATTGCAAGTGGCACTAATGCCAATCACACTTCATAAGGTTCTTCCTCTGCCATTTTGTTATTACTGGTAGAAAATTGGAAAGTGCAATTATAGGGCAGTGCTCAAAAGCACAATCTCCATTTCAAATTTCTTCCAAATCCATCCAGCATTTCTGAAGTTGAATAATGCAGGCAGACAGACATACATGACCAGCCTTGTATATATTAATTTCATGCAAAGAACACATAATAATGTAAAAGTTAACATACTAAAAATATTGTGTATGATGATCTACATTCTGTAATAATTTCATTCACAGGTTTCCTTTGAGTAAGCCAAATCTTTGCAAAAAGTGGGTTCATGCAATTTGTCAACCAGACTTCCAGCCCTTACCGCATCATTTACTTTGTTCAGATCATTTTGAAGAAAGCTGCTTTTTGCCGGGATATGTTAATAGGAGACAGTTAAAGAAAAATGCAATACCTACTTTGTTTTTTTGTCCTGAAAAGGTGAGTTTAAAGAAAACTGTGGACACATGTATTACATCTTCGCAATGATAAGTTTATTAATGAAGTATAATTTGTTTCAAAGTATCGTAACTGAACCCCATGTGTTTGTCATTTCAACTGCCGCACTTCAGACCTATTTGTACCGTTTTATACTGTTGAAGTGTAGCTGTCAGTGGCTTATTAGGTTAACAGCTAAACATATGTAATAAATGTACAGTAAACAGACTTCAAGGTACTACCTTTAATCATTTGTAGAACAAGTATTAATCCACTTTGAAACTTTAAATATTTGTGTAATGTAAGCGTTTTTAGTTTTAGCTGTATTGTAGCAACTGGGAAATAATTTTCCCCCTTGATAATCTTACACAGTGGTAGCAAATTGGGTAGGAGCCCTATCTTGGCAGACAGCAAACTGGAATGTTTAATTTCTTCTCAAAAATGGCTGTAAACAAATGTAATTATGTTCTGATGTGGGTCACCATGTGTAACTGTATTTAAAACTATAAAAAAAGTTTGTATGTGAGAAGTGGTTAAGTTCATTCTTTTCAGATTATGTGCTGGGTTGTTACATCATGTAATAGGAGGATACTTATGTTAAGGAGGCAACATGCTCCTCTCTAATGTTGGTATGAACCCAGAAGACAAAAATCTGAACTCATTCCACTATGAAAACGTCATCTTATATAAAACTTTGTTTGGAACATGAAGCTTCAATAATCATATTCTTGTACATCCTGTTTGGTGTTAATGAAATTAAATTGAAAGCAAATTCTGTCACTCACAACTTTTATTTTAAGAATGTGCTTATTCTAGGCAACATGATTCAGTCTGTTAGGCTTCACCTTGTGATGCACAGAAGTCAGAGTGGTGTGACTCCACTTACTTGGTTGTCCATCTTGTGCATCCCGGGTATCATGTTGTTCCGAACAAGCAGTACATGGTGGAGTGAATGTAATGCATTTTATAGAAATAGATTGCTACTTTTGCCTTTCGTATTTTATTAAAATAAATTCTACAAACATCAGAAACTTTTTGTGAATGGTTTAGTTTCCAAGCTCAGTATCGAACCGACTATCATGAAATTATGTCTCATTTGTCACTTTGACCGAAAGTGATGGGCCTTACTGTTCTTGATTGAAAAGTAACATCCTCCATGCCAAAATTAAATACCATCCAAGTTCAAAGTTGTAGGACTCGTACGCTTTTTTAAACCAGATGAAAACTATCTGTTGATCTGTAGGTGGCCAGTACCAAGTAGCTGTTTCTTCTTCCTGTAGCTCTACAACCCAGTGTGGATCTTGGCCACCTCCTTTTGGAGGTTTCTTAGTCTTTGAAGTGTGCATAGACTAAAGCTTTCATCCGGTGAGGAACTGCTGTTCCTCTGTATATGTCTGAAATATTACATTTATCTGTGCCTACTGATGAAGATTAATTTTGTCTGAGGTGACTTACTAAGTAGGTTTATATCTGAAGACAGAAGGAGAGTCAGTCTCCAATATGTAGTGAATTTTATAAATTTTTATAGATGTCCTAATACAATTCAGTGGCAATGGATAATAATCATAAGATATGTTCTGAGTTAGCTACGGGCTGGACGACCGGGGTTCGATCCCCGATGGGGGCAGAGGATTTTTCCTCTAGCCTCTGCGTCCAGACCGACTCTGGGGCCCACCCAGCCTCCTCTACAATGGGTACGGGGGTCCTTTCCCGGGGGTAAAGCCGGCCGGGGCGTGACGCTGACCACTCACCCCCATCTAGTGCCGAGGTCAAGGAAGAGAGGAGCTATACCTCCACTCCCCCCAAGCGCCTACATGGCGTATAGTGGGACAAACTTTACTTTACTTTACTTATGTTCTGAGTTATGAATTTCCTGACACGAGTTCAGCTCGAGATAGGGAAGATGAAAGATATGGAGAATTCCAGTGCAGCAAACATTTTTCAAATGCATTCTTTCCTTATTTTATACCCCTACATCTTCACGTGGCATTACAACCCAGAAGAACAACTTTACCTATTATAATACTGATATTGATAGTAAACTTAGTTTAAACATACTTAACATAATTTAACTCTGTTATAGACATTCAATATGAAAAGAAAACTAAAAGTGCCATAAATGTTGAGACTTTATGTGTATTTGTGGTCAGAGATTTCAAATCTCATGCTGGTATTTTGTTTGTAGAAATCACAGCAGTGTTCATTAAACCCAGAAGAAGAAGAACTGGTGTTTGTATCCAGTATGAGAAAAAAGAATATGGTTCTGTCACAGTGGGATGAAGGTAGGAAACAAGGTCAACGACTTTTCATACTTATATCAGATTAAGTGAAGTGAGCAAATAAGTACTTGTGTGCTCTCTTTGCTTAGGAGTCCGCAATTTTTAAAACAGATAAACCCCATTCAGGATAATCACATTGCTGAAACTGGAAGTGTCCTTTCAGTGTTGAGCATTTGTTTTTACAGAAGTTGCAGGTTCGTTGGATGAGCATTCTGATGTGGAGGAACAAACAAAGATGTGCACTGATCTGCTGTGTCGTGTGTGCGCGTGTGCAAGCGAGGAGTTGGTCTCATTGTTTGGGAAGGAGAGTGCAGAATTGCAACTGCTTGAAAAAATTCACATTCATCTACCCATTATGGTAAAGATTTACACTGATTTTGTCTTACCATAACTGACTTGCATGTTTACAGGTAGTACAACCACAAAAAATATTTGCAAACATTTCTGCTTTGAGTAATTTATTTTTATTTACTAAAAATGTATTTCTTTACTTAAATAAATTACTTGTTATTTCATTTCCTATTTTATTCTTCAGTTACCATACAAAACTGATTCAGCAGTGTCCCAAAACTTTATTAATTATTATTTCAGTTTATTAAGGTCTCACAATGAACTGACCACATTTATGATATTGATTACAGAACTGAACATTTCTCACAGATATTCCAATTTCTTTTAAGTAGGTACTGTAGTATATTTTTATAACAGGATTTTCAGACATGAAAGTAGTTGTTGTTTTATATATATATAATAGGTATCATACAGTAACCCAAAAGTCTTGGGACATTCTAAAAAAAGGGGGGAAAAGTTGATAACATGCACTTATAATCAAACCATGTCAGTATGGAATACCTCCATTTTACCGTGGCATTTTAGGTTACTACACAAGACCAAATCAACACTTAATAATTTTATGTAAAAATGTGCTGTATTCTTCTGTATCGTGTCTTTTAAAGTGTTTACAAATTTTTATGAAATATCTTACTCCATAACCTTTGGCACTGGTCTTCATAGTTGGAGGTTGAATAATCCTAGGAGAGTCAAGAAATTCACTAACATAATAATCACCTGATCTTTTCTACTAACAAATAGAATTTTATTAGAAGTGATTTGATATTGGGGAGCTTTACTAGAATTTGTAAACACATACAGTTTCAGTTAAAATCAGATGATAATAATGGGTACTTTATGTGAAGACGTA